AAAGGACACTGGTTTCTAGGAGTCCTATGAATAGATCTTACTAGACAGCCTCGTTTGTTTTTTACAGGTTAGCTAGAACCACAGTCTGGAAGGACAGTGGAGTGCGCCTGTCTGGGTGTCCTCGGGTGTTTAATGAGGCTATAATCCAATCCCGGGGAACATTATCGGAAATATGGACTGAAAGTTGGTAGAATTAGGTGAATTATCAGAGTCCACCTGCTGGGCAGGCCCTGTGGCCATCCTGAGGCCCACCTTCACTGATGGGTCAGCCAGGGCAGAACCAGGGTCTTGGATTAGGCTGTCTGTGAACCTGACACTGGTCAGGTTCACAGACAGCAGGACTATAACGGACAGTGAAGGGGAGGTCCCAGAGGTTTCAGCCAACCATGATGATGGGCCGAGTCAGGAGGAGAGCCCTGGACAGTTAGGAACAGGATCTGGGGGATGGGGTTGGACAGCAAGAGGTGTGAAAAAAGGGCTCGAGCTATCCACTGCTTCGCCTCAGAGGGCTGCCAAGAAAACGAGCCCCAGCCTCCGGCGGAGCGGCTCAGTTAAGCGGGACACCAACCTCAGGGCCATCGGAGGATACAGAGGAAAAAGGCCAGAAGAGGGAAAGACGGGCTCTTGCGCTTGGAAGGGGGTGGCCTCAGAGCACAGCAAGGGCTGTTGTAGATGTGGAAGCCCAGCCTGGCAGTCCCAGGGCTCGGAACCCAGAAGCTCAGGGGAGAAGCCCACAAGGACAGATCTTTGTAAATAAAACGTGAGAACAGTTTTCTTCGTGGAGTCCAAAAGTGGACGGGGCTCTCGGCAGATGGGAGAGGTCCTTTGCTGAGAGGAGCACTTGGTGGGGGTGCGGCAAAGGGGGTGAAGTGGACAGCTCTGCAGGCAGGACCGGGGGCCTCGGGGGTGCCTGAGCCTGAGTTTCTGTGTCTTTACCACAATACCGAGGAGGGGGTTGGGTGCCCTTGACCACCGGTATCCTTTGTCTACTTATAATATGCACGAAGGAAAGTTCCCACAGGTAGATACTCAGTGTACTGGCAAAGGCCACCTGTGTGCTGCCACTCAGCCACAGGACAAAATATCCCCCCCTCTCCAGAAGCCCCCTTGGCCCTCCTGGGCACCCTTGCACAGGAAGCCACTTTCCTGTGCTCTTGCAGTAGGCAGACTCGTTGGGCCTGTTCCTAAACTCTCCTCCCTGTGGAGCTAGGCAGCGTGGGGTCTTGTGTCTGGTGACCTCGGCTCAGGTGGCATTTGGGACGGCCCTGGGTTCCTGTGAGTGGTTCTGTAGATAGATGATGGATCGATCCCCTGCCTGGGTTGGTGGCCGACTCTATCCCTTGTGTCCTGCTGTCTGTACTATGACAGTGCCCACTCAAGTGGGTGACTGAACTCAGTGGTGGCCCTGGACTTGTAGATGTGCAGTGGATGGGAGCACAGACCACTGGGGAGGTCAAGGTCACACCAACCTGTGTGCCCGAGCCCTGGTCCTTCCTGCCAGGGCAGCACAAGCTGACATGCAAGATAGAAGATTCCAAATGAGGGACAAGGAATGGTGGCATGGCAGTGTCTACGAGGGACGAGAAGCAGCGAGGACAGCGTAGAAATGCAAGTCTAGCAGTCACCCTGAGGCCAGGCCTTGGGCAGCATGTCTGCTGCTGCTTCCTGAACTGCCCTAGAGATGCACAGAAAAGGCACCCGTGCTTTTGGCTGCACCCCTCTGGTCTCTTAGGGCAGTTCAGTCTTGGCAGGGCCTGGCTCCCCTGGGAGAGGTGACTTTGGGGCAGGGACACCAGGGGCTGTACCCACCCTTCTTTACCTGACATTCCAGTCAGTGTCACACGGGTCAATGCCTTTGCCTTCCTGGGTGCTCCTGCAGGGAGCCCAGCCCAGTGTCCCTTGTGGGAAGTGCAGGGACAGCACTAGACTGGACAGAGTGCCTGCATCATCTCTGCTCTGAGCTTAGAAAAGCCGGTTCCAAGTTTCCTCGCACCTTAGGCTCCTCTGAATGCTAGTCCAGTGTCCTGGTCTTTGGGAAGCCCTGAGGACAGAGGGTGGAGGCCTGGCCTGAGCCTGCAGGCGGGAGCTCTTTTGCCTTGTATGACAGTGCTAGGAGGGTGCCAGGGGCTGATGCCGCCTTTGCCCTCCTGGTGTGAGTTCTGGGGAGCCTTGCCAGGTGGGGTGGGGCAGTTTCTGGGGGAGGAAGGTCCCTCAGCCAGCCCTCTGTTTGCCCCTGCTCTGGTGGGCTGGTGGTGAGCCCCTTCTTTCCCTCCTCTGAGTAAGCTTAAGTGGCTCCCTGCCTTCTCCCCGAGGCTCTGGGTGAGAACTGAGGGTGTGGGACGGTGTGGAGAAGCTGGGCGGGTGGTCAGGAGGACAGGCGGTGGGCAGGTGCTGGCGGGGGCAGCTGGCGCGCTCTGGTGCAGCTCCTTGGCACCCACTCACCCCCTTGGTGCAGTTTCTGGATCGCAGTCCTGGCCTGACCCACCGGGCCGCCTCTTCCCTTCTGGCACCACCCCCAACACTGCTGTGCTGCCTCCCAGCTCGCCTCCCCCCAAAGGCCCCTCCCTGCCCGCAGCGGGTGACGGATCTCCGCTCAGGCCTGGGCTGGGGATTAATGAAGCCCAGATGCAGGACTCCTGGCAGAGTGGCAGCAGCAGCACGGAGGGGCCATTTACCTCCCACCGTGCTCCCAGCCCAGCTGCTGCCAGCTCCCGGGAACAGCTGGAAGGCAGGTTCTGGCTGATGGAGGAGGCCTCGGGTGGGGGGACCCTGCAGGGAGTGGAGCTGGGGGCTCTGTGGGGCACACCACGGCTCAGCCCAGGCGGGTCAGGCCCCAAACTGATCGCTGTCAGGTCGTCATGGTTGTCAGATGCAGTGCAGGTGTCACTGGGGACAGGCATGCTACAAACTGTCCCCCTTCACTTGTCTGAGGTCCAGGTTTAACAGGCAGCCTGTATTTTGATTTGCTGACTCTGGGAGCCTGGCTCCCCTCCCAGGTGCATGTCTTTTCTACTTCAGGGTTTTATTGAAGCACAGCATACATGGAACAGAGCACAGACCATGAGGCGTCGTGACTGTGGGTGTTCACACGTCACACGCCTGACACCAGCACCCTGCTCAAGAAAGGCCCAGGACCCAAACCTGCCCAGCTGCTGGAATTTGCCCATCTAGGGCTTGACCTGAACCAATTCGTACACTTCTGTTCTTAGGTGTTGGGCTGTGAAGGTGGCCCGTGTTGCTGGAGGTCGTCACAGTTCGTTCATAACCGTGACTCCTAGAGATTTACCCAGGGTGCTTCTGCAGCTGGGAACATTCCAGTACCTCAGTTTTGGTACTAGGTACCTAGGAGCAGGATCACTGGGGGAGCAGACGAGTATCTCTGATAAACCTCCAGATGGCTTTCCTAGTGGTGCCTGCACCCCACCAGCACCCCACCAGCCGGGGCCTCCTGTCTCCACATAGCCCCCTGCCATGGAGCAGAACTGCCCGCTGCTTTCTCTCTCTCCTAACCCAGAGCCTCTGCTTTGTTAATCTCCCTGGCTTTCCTGACTGTTTCCTAAAAAGTCAACACCGTCCCCTTGACTTTCACACCCCACGTTAGGGTCACTGGTCCCAAGCTGCCCAGCCTCAAGGGAGCTTTGAGGACACTGATTCTGCCTCTGTCCCCACCACCAGGGACAGCTCTGGAGTCTTCAGTGCTGGTCAGAGAATGGCCAGGTTTATTCCTGGCTCGCAAAGTCCTTCTTTAGGGAACCACTGCCTCCATGTACCTCCCACGCCTCACTATAGCCCACGTTTGTCCTTGGTTTCTTCATAATGTCATTCTGCAGTGTGGCTGAGGACACTGGTAGGGTCCCTCCAACAGCGTTATTACCTGAGGGTATTTGTCCCCTAAGAAATCAGTACTAGTTCGCGCACTTTTCTGTCACGTTTCATCTTTTAGACCTTTCATTTGATGGTGGTGGCTTTCCTCAGGAACTGGGGACCATGGTAGGACCGTCGCCCAGCATGCATGAGGCCTTGGGTTTGATCCACAGCATCAAAAAAATCCATTTCAATAGCTAACAGTTGCAGCCCCTGGGGACACATGGAGGGACGTTGAAGGTCATAGCCTCGTGGTAGGATGGACTGGTGACAAGGCACAAAGCATCATGGCCTTGGGAGTTCGTGTGGGAGAAGGGCTCACCCCAAACCCCTGTCTGGGGGCCCTCAGCCCTGCGTCACCTCACCCCTTTTCAACCCATCACCACTCTGGCCCATCCTCTGCTCTCCACGTCCCTCCGCTCTTCTTCCCTGGAGCTCAGGGACCCATGGAAATCAGAGGTCCAAATGTCATCGTGTGAAGGCCTGATGGGGCGGGGATGGGGTGTCCACTCCTCAGGAGGGGCCGCTGTTGGCTCCATCCTGGTGGAAGGCTCCTCACTGCTGTGGCTGACTGCAGCCCAGGGACTGTTCTGCTCACGGTGGGCTCGCAGACCAAATGCTCCAGGGCTGGTGGCCCCAGGCACCATTGGCTCTGGGCCTTCAGGGCTCTGCCTCCCGCTCCTGTCTCTGCTGGCCTCCCTCTGGCTGCTTATTTAGGCTGTCCCACCAGGACACACGATGGCACTGGCAGTTGCAGGTCACCTCTTGCCACTTTAGCTGCTCTCTGGGAAGCACAGGCTCCGCTGACACTCCAAGGATGGGGCACTCCTAAGGCCACCCTGGGAACCAGGGTGGGAACCGGAACAGATCAGGGGTTCCAAAGGAAAGGTCCCTGGACACTGTGAAAAAACCCACAGACTTGCCAGACACCATGGCGCACGCCTGTCATCCCAGCAGCTCCGGAGGCTGAGGCAGGAGGATCGCAAGTTCAAAGACAGCCTCAGCAATTTAGCGACTCAGAAGAAAAACAGTCCCCTCTCCATGGCTGTCCTGCCCTTTACATGGGTGCCCCAACTTCCAGGCCACCCCCTTTTAGATTGCCATCTTCCTCAGGTTCTCCGATTCTCTTCTCTCAGGCAGCTTCGAGGCCAGCTCAGCCTTGTGGTCATCGCCCGGATGCTCGGCCAAGAGGAACTTCCTCTCTGGCAAGAGAAGATGCAGGTGAGTCTGTGTTAGTCAGCTTTCCGCTGCAGTGACCAAAATGCACTGTGCGAACAACTTAGAGGAGGAGGCGTTTATTTTGGCCCATGGTTTCAGGGGGTTCAGTTGGTGTTCGGCCAGTTCCATTACTTTGGCCCTGAGGTGAGACACAACATCATGGTGGAAGGGCAGGTGGAGGAAAGCTGTCAACTCATGGCGCTGAGAACAAAGAGAGAAAGGGAAAGGGACCAGGGTTAAGATACCCCTTTCCAGGGCACACGCCCAGTGACCTACTTCCTCCAGTTAGCCCCACCAGTAATACCACCAGATAGGAATCTTTCCAGGGATGAACCCACTGTTGAGATCAGAACCCTTATTATTTAATCACTTCCCAAAAAAAACCCCGCCTCAGAGCATGCTGCACTGGGGACCAAGCCTTCAGCACAAAAGATCTGGGGGAACATTCCAGGCCCCGGCCATAACTCGAGTGTGCCTAGCCAGGACAGGAAGGCCTGGGGTGGCCGACCCTCCCCAAGGCCTGCCCACTCCTGAGTCCTGGCTGGTGCCCCAGCCTCTGCCCTAAGAGCTGAGCTGGGTTAGAATGTCTTACCCAAGTTCTTTCAGTCAGCGATTGCTGGGGGCTGGGTGTGCAGCTGAGCGTAGAGCACTTGCCCAGCCTGCGCAAGGCCTTGGGCTCACCGGGCTCTGCGAGGATGCTGCCCCATAGACCTAAGTCCCAGCTACTCGGGCCAAGCTCAGGAGTTTGAGGCCAGCCTGGACAATGTGGCAAGATTCTGTCATCTCTTAGGGAAAAAAAAATTCTTGTTTGCCTGCCTACCATATGCTGGGTGCAAGGATTAAGCTGGGTGGAGTGTATTTTTTTTTTTTTAATTTATCTTTGGTACCAGAGATTGAACTCGGGCACTTGACCACTGAGCCAAACCCCCAGCCCTATTTTGTATTTTCTTTAGAGACAGGGTCTCACTGAGTTGCTTAGCTCCTCGATTTTGCTGAAGCTGGCTTTGAACTTGTGATCCTCCTGTCTCAGCCTCCCAAGCTGCTGGGATTACAGGCATGTGCCACTGCACCTGGCTCTGTATCACATTTTTTTTTTAAGAGAGAGAGAGAATGAATGAATTTCTTTAGTTTTCGGCAGACACAACATCTTTGTTTGTATGTGGTGCTGAGGATCGAACCCGGGCCGCACGCATGCCAGGCGAGCTCGCTACCGCTTGAGCCACATCCCCAGCCCTGTATCACATTTTTTAAAAATGTGAAACATACGTAATGTAAAATTTATCACCTCAACTTGTTTTTATCATCTTTACTCTGGTTTGTTTTTTGCTTTTTTCGCCAGGCTAGGGAAGGAGCCAGGGCCTCATGCATGCTAGGCAAGTGCTCTACCACTGAGCTACATTCCCCAGCCCTTTTTATTTTATTTTGAGACAAGGACTCATTAAGTTGCTGAGGCTGGCCTTGAACTTGGGACCCTCCTCCCTCAGCTTTCCGAGTTCTGAGATTGCAGACACGCATCCCCACACCACACTTTTAACTCTCTTCTTTGTGTGTGGTAGGAATTAAACCCGGGAGTACTTTACCATTGAGCTACATTCCAAGCCCTTTCTATTTTTTTATTTTGAGTCAAGATCTTGCTAAATTACTAAGGGTCTTAGTAAATTGTCCAAGCTATCCTCAAACTTGTGATCCTCCTGCCTCAGCCTCTCAAGTCGTTGAGATTGCAGGCCTGTACCACTGCACCCAGCTTAACTTTTTTTGAACCCAGGGGCACTTAACCACTGAGCCACATCCCCAGCCCTTTTTATTTTTTATTTGGAGACAGGGTCTCACTAAGTTGCTTAGGGCCTTGCTGAGGCTGGCTTCAAACTCAATCCTCCTGCCCCCGCCTCCTGAGCCACTGGGATTATAGGGTGCGCAACCATACCCAGCTTGTATTGGGCAGAGATTTATGGGGAGATAAGGGGAGCTACAGGGAAGGGAGGCAAATGACAAGTACCTAACCTGGAGCCCTGCCTCCCCCAGAGAAAGCTGGCCCTGGAGAGCTCTGCATTTGCTAAGGGCCCAGGTCTCCAGGCCTGTCGGAGACAGAGCCAGGTGCAGCCTGACTGTGCTTCCAGCTCCAGGGCCTCTCCACACACTGGTGCCCACCTGCCTGTACCCGGCCATGTGCTCCTCTGCTCTGTAGACACTCGCTGAGCAGGCTCTGCCCCAGGCACCAGGTGCCAACAGGCTCTGGGGAGACAGCACCCAGACGACCTCAGAAGACAGGGTGAGCAAGCCGGCTGCGGCTGTGGTGACTAACTCTGCCCGAGGACAGTGAGGCGGCTTCTGAGGAGGTGCCTGAGCCAGGTCTTGGAGGATGAGTCTGTGCGTGTACCACAGAGGAGAGGGAGCGGGGACCCAGGGCAGCTCCAGGGAAAAGGGAAGGCCAGCAGGGGCCTGCCTGTGACCTGCCTGATGCACTTCCTGTCTCTCCACTGCAAGCCCTGGCACTCCGTAGCCTTCTTCCAGGTCTCTGGGCTGCCAAGTGCCCCACTTTCCAGTCTGGCCTGTCAGATCTTCCTGAAACATGCCTTCACAGGGCCACCTTCTCCCCATGACTGCCCACATCAACCCCACGTGGCCCTTGCACACCTACTCCACAGCCTGCCCAGTGGTGCCTGTTCTCAGCCCTCTCCACAGGCCAGGCCAGCCTAGCCGTCTCCTGCACACAGACTTGTGCAGCTATCACACCCCACCCCAAATAAAGGCCACCACCAGAGTGGCAGCCCTCAATCTATGCTGAGTGCGTGCTCAGTGCCTGCTGCGTGTAGCAGCCTGGACCACAAGGACTGTTACTCTCAGATGGAGCAAGGCGGCAGGGAGCCTCCTGAAGGTCATAGAAGGCAGCAGTGGGGTTGGGGTTTGAGTTCCAGCTCCCGCCCCAGATCTCAGAAGCCTGGACTGTGCCTGGGACTTCATGCTGAAGATGTCCAGCTGGTCCGGAGCTTTCTTCCTGGGTCACAGAGGGGACTCAAGGGCCTGTCGCCCCTGCCCCTCAGAACGCACTGCTATTTGTGAAGGGGCTGTGGGTTGAGAACAAATTCTGGCTCCTTGTAGCAGAGGCCTGTGCTTAGGGGTGGGCCAAGCTGTTCCCAGAGGACCACTGGGCAGCAGGAGTCCACCGTGTCCAAGCCGCTTGGTTCCTCAAACTGGACTGTCAGGCCCCAGGAGCAAGACAGGTGCTTAGAACTGACCTTTAGGGACAGGACTTCTGTAGGTGCTTGGGATGCCACAAGGTTTGCCTTTGCCAGGAGAATCCCAGGGTCTATGCAGTAATCTCTGTTCCTCCGTTGAATACTGGGAATGTTCCAGAAATAGCAGTGTTTCAGTCTCATGCCCCCGTGTGCTCCAGGCACTGATCTGGGCATGGAAGATAGAGCAGGACAGAGTTTAGTCCCTCCCTTACGACACTCACAGTCTGGGGCCTGGCAGACACAGGCACCAAGAAGGCAGGTCATGGGGAGTACCAGATGGTGAGGAGCACTGGGGAGGAAAAGGCAGAGAAGTAGGGAGAGGAGGTGCTGGGAACATGCTCATGTTCAGGGTAAACCAGGGAAGGGACCTTTGCACATGGGCTGAAGGAGGCAGGTGGTCTCTGGGAAGAGCACTCTAGGCAGCAGGGCTGCAAGTGCAAAGGCCCTGGAGCCCGCCAGGGCCTCTTGGGTTGGAGGAAAAACAAGGAGGCCAGTACTGCTGAAGCAGAGGGCTCAGGGTGGGCCAGCAGGAGGGAGGTCAGTCAGGTAAGCGAAGGCTCCCCCAGCCAGAGACCGTCCACCGTGGGGCTTTTGACTTCTGTGCCACAGTGGAGAGCCACTGGGGGGTTTTGAACAGAGGAGAGAACATGTGATGTGTCAACTCTTTAAAACTTCCTCTGGCTGCCTATAGACCTGGACTCTGTTTGGGGCAGGGGGTCTATTCCTGCAGTCGTCCTGTGTGGCCGTGGCCTGGGGCATGGCAGCATGGGCAGTGGGTTGCCAGATGCGAGGTGCGCTTTCCAAGGACAGGCTGCGGAGTGTGAGAGGAGGGACGGCACCAGGAGGAGACACCTTTCACCCAGCCAGGTCCTGACCTCTATCTCTTCACTCATTTCCCTAAGAAGTACTCCTAAGCAAGCTGTGTGCCAGACTCAGTGCTGGGCTCTGGGCTGCTGTAGTGAACAAAACTGCCCGAGGGCCAGGTGTGGTGGCCCATGCCTGTGATTCCAGTGGCTCAGGAGGCTGAGGCAGGAGGATCACAAGTTCAAAGCCAGCCTCAGCAATGGCAAGGTACTAGGCAACTCAGTGAGACCTGTCTTTAAATAAATAAAGACTAAAAGGGGCTGGGGATGTTGTTGAGTGGTTAAGCAGGGACCCCTGGGTTCAGTCCCAGTACCAAACACACCCATGGGGAGCTGACATTCTGGAGCAGGGGAACAGATAATAATATGGGTAATAAGCAGCTAATTTACATGGGCTGGGAAGTGGTGATAATGCTATGGAAAGAAGAGGTACAGGGTAAGGGACTTCAGGCAGGTGTGGCCAGCATGAGGCTGCAGGCCAGGTGGGAGCTCAGGTGGGCAGGCCTCCCTGTGAAGGGGGCTGGAGCCAAGGCTGGAAGGAGGGGCAGCTGTGTTGGGTCTGGTCAGAAGCCCCACCACCTGGGGTCTTTCAGACACTTAAGACTTGGGCAGCCTTCATGTACAAATTAGATCCTCTGCCAGTGTTTAAGCTAAGAGCCACTGGCTGGGATGAGTGTCCTCCTCCTCTTGCCAGGCAATTGACAAGGCCAGTGGAGGCCTGTCTTGGGTGAGCCCTTGCTTCTTGCCCCAGGTGTCTGCCCTAATGGGCTGAGTGTTTGCTGAGATGGCTCCCAGCAGGGGGGTGGGTGGGGGTGGGGAGGGCACTGGTCCACCCCAGCCCCAGTGGGACCCATGGGGTCCCAACCAGCTCGGACCCTGCAGGAGAGGCTGGCTGGAGCGGCGTGAGGGGAAACGGAAGGAAATGAGCGGTCAGATCTACAGGGGGCAGCTCGATGCGCCAGCAGCCCAAAGCTGTTTTTATGGAGTGCAAGGAAGATCCAGCAGTGAGCCAGTGAGCGCGCAACCGTGGTATCCTTGCCCCGCCCCGCCCCCCAAGCGGGAGGCTAGCCAGCCAGAAGGCTGCGCTGGGGGCGTGGGCCACAGGGCCCCGCCCCCTGCGCCTGCACAGCTCTGAGCTCCGGGCAGCGCAGGCAGGGCTGCCCTGGAAGCTGTCCCCAAACTAGGAAGCCCAAGCCAGGCAGTGCAGCTCTGGTGTTGGTGCAGCCCCGAGGGAGCCTCTCTTCACCAGAACCTTCCTCCTCTTTCCTGCCGCCTCCTCACCCCTCCAAAGGGGTTCAGACAGGGCAGAGAAGCCCTGGCCCTCTTCCAGGAGCCAAGGCCCTCCCTAGTCCTAGACCCCAGCCCAGCTGTTCCTGTGAGCCCTCAGCACCGCAGCCTGCCAGGTGCTGAGCAGGTGTCAGGGAGTGAGTCAGAGGACGGAGCCAGGTGTGCCCGCTGGCCAGGCCCAAGCAAGGAGCTGGGCCAGGGCTCAGCTCTAGCCCATGGCCACACTGCACCTGCTAGATCTGAGGAGAGGCGCCTCTGCAGACCACCCGGGCTGTGTTTCTGCACCTGACACCCTGCCCCACCCCCAGAGAGGCCAGGCACTGGGCCTGCCGGCCTTTGCCCAGCCACACCACAGGTGAGCTCCAGGGCATCTGGACAGGCCTTGTTGGGCCCTACTGAGGCCCTGAACCCTGAGGTGGGCGTGGCCAAGGAGGGGCTGGCTGCAGACTGAGCATTTAGACAGGTCACATTCTGCCTGGGGGGTTCAGAGCCTGTTTGTTCAGAGGAGATGGGCAGTTTCTTCAAGAACAAAATGGGAGGAGCTGGGCTTGATGGTGCATGCCTGTAATCCCAGCTACTCAAGAGGCGAAAGCAGGAACATCACAAGTTCAAGACCAGCCCGGGCAACTTAGCAAGACCCTGTCTGAAAATAAAAATAAAAAGGGCTGGGAATGTAGCTCAGCGGTAGAATGCTCCCCAGTACTACACACGCACAAAAAAGGACTGGGGCCAGTTGTGGTGGCCCACATCTGTGATCCCAGCAACTCGGGAGGCTGACACAGGAGGATCATGAATTCAAAGCCAGCCTCAGCAACTTAATGAGGGCCTAAGCAACTCAGTGAGACCCTGTCTGAAAATGAAATATAAAGAACTGAGCATGTGACTCAGTGGTTAAGCGCCCCTGGGTTCAATCCCCAGTACCACCAAAAAAGACACATACACACACTATGTACATAACATATGTAACGTATGTCCAAAAGGAAGAGGCTGTGCTGGGGTGGAGATGATGAACCAGGTGGAGGAGATGATGACGATGGTGGTCATCACTCACAGTGACGGGACAGGCAGGGCTCATGTTCTCTCCATGTGTGTGGGAAATGCCACAGTGACAAGTTCAATGAAAAGAAAGGGACAGCACCCTCTCTGCCTAGTGGGCTGGCACAAAAGGAGCAGCTCAGCTGGGCAGGGTTCTGCCCAGTGGCAGAGGACCGAGCTCCGGCTCTTGGTTCTCCAGGGCAGTGAGTGAAGCCCTTCTCAGGGGGCCTTCCTAGTTCATCTGGTTAAGGAAGGGCTTGCCTTGTGCAAGATACGTTTGTGTGTGTGTGTGTGTGAGTGTGTGTGTGTGGTAGAGTCACTCAGGGTCTGAGAGGCCACACAGCTTATCTGTGAGAGGTGGTCTCGGGTCCTCTCACCCACTGCTGCCAGCTGAGTTGTCCCCACACATTTGCTTGGCTGCTGCTACCCTCAGTATGTGACAGCCTCCTTGTCTTCCCCAGCTGTCCTTGCTCAGTCAACTCCTAAGCCTCATGAGGCCATCATCCCTGGGGCAGTACCTGGGCTCTGAGCCCTTGCCACCCTGCCAGGAGCAACAGCCAAAGGCCAGTGCTGCACTGGACCATAAGGTGAGCACCCTGCACTGTCTGCTTCTGCCAGGGCTGTCTTGTCTGCTTTGCGCCACCTGTGGGGTCTACAGCTGCCCATCCTCCTAGAGCCCCAGGCTACGCCAGAGCAGAGACCAGCGGGCTTCCTCTTGTGTTGAGGGGAGGCGCTCCTCAGCTCCCAAGCCTGTAATTAGAGCCCTTGCCCACACGGCACACATAGGTACAGGGCGTGGGCGCAGGCGTGCAGGCCAGAGGGCCGCTGTGTGTCTGCTGCACCCGCTGGAGCCTGGCTCCCTTAGCCCTAGGGCTCTGGGTTAGCTTTAGAGGACAGGAATGGGGGATGGGGAGATGCTGGGGTGGGTGGGGTGGGCGATGGGAGCACATTTAGGAGGAGGAGGGGGTGTCGTTATGGGAGGGGCATCATCGTTTTCCTTTTTGCAGGGCAGGGCTGGGGCCAGCCTCCCTGCTCATTTTCAGTGATTGTTACCGAGGCTGCGAGGCTGCGTCCTTGACCTCCCCACAGTTCTTCCCAATTAACTTTCCAGACATCACCCAGCTTTCCTAAAAGTTTGGCTTTTAGGTTTGGAAGCCAAGGGCAACAAGGTACCCCAGGGCCTGGAGGTTGCAGGGCGAGGAGACTGAGGTGAATGTCAGAGCAGAGACCGTGGTGGGTAGGCTTCTGAGGGAGCGCTGCAGGCCCAGCTCCCTGTCCCTGGGTACTGGGGGTGATGAATGGAGATAGGGATCTTCTAACTCAGCAAGGCAGTAATTCCAAAACCCTGCTCAGAGGTGGATGTCGAGGATCCACGAGTCCAGCCTTTGGGCACTGCTCTGCACATCAGATAAACAAATTAATTACTTAATGAACACAAATGAACCATTAAGAGAGTCCCAGTGCACTCCCCTTCCAGGACACGCAGGGAAGGTGATCTTTCCGCTGTGCCTAATATGAGTGCATTTACGAGGCTGCAGCCTCCCTGGAGAGTGTGAACCGCCAGCATGCCCCTTCTCCTCTGCCAAGTACTGCCAGGACACAGGAGCTGGTTGCAGAAGCTGGTTATGGGGCCTATAGAAAGGGGGCAGGACCAGTCTCTGGGGTGGCCTGAGCAGGACCCCAGAACCTAGGAGGCCTAGGCTGGGGGGGAGTGATGAGAGAGAAAAGAAGAAGCTGGTCTGGCCTGGCTCTTGGGGGTCAGCCCCACAACCTCATGCCACAGAGGCAGGGCCCTGCCAGGCCCAGCTTTCCATTTGGTTCCCCTTGTTTCTGAATCTGCCTGGTGGCACAGCTGTCCCATAGCCTGGGGGTGGGGGGGGGGAGGGGATGAGCCGGCTGAGGCATCCTCTGTGTTAACAGGTGCTGCCATGCAGGTAGAGGAACTTGTGAGAAGTGTCCCTGCGCCCCCTGGTTGACTGCCATATTGGGGATGGCTGGTTTGGCCTAGAAGCTCAGAGGGGCTGCACATCTTGGCAGAATAGCCCAGAAGCAGAGTGTGCTGGAGAGCGGGGCAGCAGAAGGGGCAGGCAAGGTCACTACAGCACTTAGGACCCCGGACGCAACCCAGGACCACTGCAGGCTCTCAGGGTGAGGGAGAGGAGGGCAAGGGCGACACAGGTGGGGCTCCAGGTGAAGAAGAGTGTGAAGTGGGCCGAGCTGTGTCCCCTGCCTAAGTGCTGTTCTGACTGGGAGGGGCGAGGTGGGGCGATGACTGGGCAGGCTCCCACCCCAGCTGGCTGACTCCTCATTAGGCCCCAGCGTGTTTCATCTTCAAAGCAAAGATGGGGCTACTCACCAGCCAAAGAGAGCCGCTGGCGTCATCCGCCCTGTTTTACGGGAGTGGTGGTCTGGGTGGGGGCTCAGCCTTTTATCCCCAGAGCTCAAAGTCTTTGTCTTCTGGCCCCTTGAGTGCACTGGGGAAACTGAGGCCAGAGTCGGGTCATCCTGAGGTGACCTCTGGTGCAGGAAGTGGCTGCTTTTCCAGGCCCTTGGGGCTACCATGCTGGGCTGCCCGCCCATCCCCCCAGCCCAGCTCCTACTCTGTCTGGGAGATTTCCTGCCCTGCTCTACGGGTCATAGCCCTCCCCCAGCCCTGCAAATAAACACTTCTGCCCAGCTCTTCCCACCTCCTCTCTCTCAGGCACTGGCCCGGCCTCTTCCCTCCTTCTGGGAGGAGGCCCAGGGCACGATGTGGCTTCACCTAGCATTGTCCCTGTGTGCATGAGCTGTCTGGTTGGACCAGGGCACAGCCACATCTCTGTACAGTGCATTCCAGTTTGCCACTAGATGGTCAGACGGAAGGATGGACAAGCAAATGGATTGTGTTATCATCCGTCTCTCCCTTCCTGGACTTTCTTCCACTCTGTTCTAGTCATCTGCTCTCCTGCCCGCATTCTGGAAAGCGCCCTCTGCACACCTTCCAACCAGTGGCAGGCTCGGGTCTCTTAATGTCTTTGGGTCCCTAAGGCCTGATGGAGCTCTGGGCTTCAGAAGTGACACCTTTGTAATGAGAGAACCAGCTGCAGGGCAATGTTGGTAATTAGAAAGCTAGACACCAAGTACTTGAACAAAATGGCTCTTACAGCTGCTCCTCTGCCTGGGGGCCAGGAGGAAGGGGAGCGCAAGGGGAGGTGGGCGGCCTGGGTTCCTGAATTCTTTGTCCTAGCTAGGTCAAAGTAACTTAGCAAATCACAACAGAGCTTGTAAAGGAGAAGAAATTGCTTCCATGGAATATCCTGCTTAAGGAATTGATTAGCAGGGCATGGTGGCACAGGCCTGTAATCCCAGCAGCTCAGGAGGCTGAGGCAGGAGGATCACAAATTCAAAACCAGCTTCAGCAATTAGCAAGGCCCTAAGCAAAAAAATAAAAAGGGCTGGGAATGTGGCTTGGTAGTTAAGTGCCCCTGGGTTCAATCCCTGGTACCAAAATATAAAAATAAAAGTAAAAAAAAATTTTTTTAAAAGGCAGGGTGTGCTGGGGATGCAGGGTGTGCTGAGGATGTAGTTCAGTGGTAGAGCACCCCTGGGTTCAGTTCCCAAAACCAAAAAAAAGAGGAAGAGGACAGAAGAAAAGGCTAACTAGAATGCTTTCATCTGGCATTTTTAAGTGTGCCCGCCTGCCCTGACACGTGCCCACCTGTATCCCAGCTGCTTGGGAGCCTGAGGCAGGGGGATCACTTGAGTTGAAGGCCAGCCTGGGCAACATAGTGAGACCAATCCCAAAAATAAATAAAATGAAGTCCGGAGCCCTCTGGCAGTTGTCAGTGGCCCTATGCTTTCTTGGTTGGAGCTGGGCTCACTCAAAGGAGAATAAACATCTGGGCAGAAGATGCTCGAAGTCGGGCACAGCCTGGCAAGAGTTAAGTGCCCTGACTGGCAGAACAGGAGAGAAAGGACCTTTGCAGAGTGGAGACTGTTGTGCTCTGGGGGCTGGTCCCCCACTGTTTCCCTTTGGCCCACAATTCAATTCTGCAAGAGACAGGTGTCCTCCTGGGCCCTCTGAGAGACTAGCCTGTTAGCCCCAGGCAGACAAACATTGCCTAACCCAACTCAATCACCACTGTCTCCTCAGGGCACCCAGCTCAGCCTTCCAACCCAGAACCAGGGTTTCCTGGTTGGCTTGCTTTTAACTGATGGTGTGAGCTGAATGTGGCCAGAGTTGGTCTGTTTGTGTTCTGTCCAGTCCCGGGGTCATGGGTGTGTGTTTATTGAAATTGTTGCTCTCTGCTCTTGTTAAGCCTGCCATCGCACACCATGCTCCAGTTTACCAACTTCCCTTTTGGTTTTTGCTTTTCACCATGTCTAGTGCACGCGCGTGTGTGTGTGTGTGTGTGTGTACATGTGCACACACACATTTTCATGCATGTGTGTGTATACACACATATATATGCGTATACACGCATGCATATATAAACATGCACACATTTTACGTGTTTTGTGTATACATACTTTTTTTTGGGGGGGGGTGCTAGGAATCAAACCCAGGGCCTTGTGCGTGGTAAGCACGTTCTGTACTTCTGAGCCACACTCCAGCCAGATGCTATATTTGATGGGAGTTTTTGGTTCTGTTTTTTTTTTTTTTTCCCCCATAGAGATTTGGGAGGTAAAAGGAACCAGGATCTTGATGGTGGGATGGAAGTTTTTCCCCAGTTGGTTAAATTTGAGGCCTGGGAAGAAGTCACTGTCTCCTGTTGTATGGGAAGAAAATTAAGGGAGGAGGGAAGTAGGGGATGGGGAGCCTGGCAGGCGTGAGGCCCCAGGCTAGTGCTGGGCATCCGAAATCCCAGCTCCTCAGAGGCTGAAGTGGGAAGATCGCAAGTTCAAGCCCAGCTTGGGCAATTTAGTGAGACAGACTTTTTAAAGGGCTGAGGGTGCAGCTCAGTGGTCGAGTGCTTGCCTAGCTTGTGGGAAGCCCTGGTACCTGAAAAGTAAAGGAAAATAAAAGGTGGGATCTAAACCTGGCTCCAGTCTCCATAAGTGTCTCTTCCCTGCCTGATGAAGTCCTCAGAGGATGACAGCCTGGGGCTCCCTCAGCATCTGCCAGCCGCTTCCTCCAGGTGCGTGCCTGGAGGGTCCCCGGCTCTGTCTCCTGGGGCCTGGAGAGGGCTTGTTTGTGGAGATAGTCAAGAGGTGATGTTGGGGGTAACAGCATCAGGCAGCCTCTGAGGTGGTGATGCTGGCTAGGGTAAGCCCCCCTACCTGCACAGACTCCCTTGCACACCTGTGGCTCTGCCCAGCCTCTGCGCAGGGCGTGGGCCGCTGTGCATTTGTGAGTGCGTCCTGTGCATCTTTGTGAATCCTGTGGTGTGCAGCGTGTGTCAAGGGAGCTGGCGAACAAGTTTCGCTGCTTTTGCTCAGGCTGCTGTGACTGCAGACTGCAGCTGTCTGTCCCTGTGCCAGGAGCCGCCTTAGTGGGAGGTGGTGGTGGGGAGAGGCTCAGCTCCCTGCAGAGGTAGGGCAGGGTGGTGTGCTGCCCTGTGGCAGCTCTCGGCTAGCCTCTGCCCTCTCTCTGCACTCTCAACCCCAA